TCAATTTCGGTGTGGTTCAGTTTTGTCGCGGTTTAAAAGAATTACTACCAAACTCAAATCAAATTACATATGGTTCAGTTTCGGTTCAGTTTAGTTTGGTATGATACGGTTTGGTTCGGTTAAACTGAACCACAATGCCCACCTCTAAATTCATTCGCACTTTGATTACTTTGTTATCCCGTGCAACGCACGGGTGAAAGACTAGTTACAATGTAATCAACTAAATAATGGAAAAGAACTCATTACTCCAAAAAATGTAATAATACAATGAAAGTTCGAATGACACAGACACGCACGCACGCACGCGCGCACACACACAGACACACACACACACACACAGAGAGAGAGAGAGAGAGAGAGAGAGAGAGAGAGAGCAGAGAGAGAGAGAGAGAGAGAGAGAGAGAGAGAGAGAGAGAGATTCTTGGTGGTGCACTTTTGAAAAAGAGATTTACAAATACAAAAATATCACACTTATTCTTCTATCTAAACTTCTCATCATACTCTATTAAAAATTGTTATCACCTAACCATCATCTAACACTTCATTCTCTTTTATATGTCACTAATTATAAAATTAGTGTATAAAGTTAATATGAAAAATGCTTGGTGTACACGTTTTTTGTGTACACATTTGACACACTTGTCTTCTACACAGACTATATTGTCTATATATAGACAACTTTGTAGGGCCCCACAAGCCCACAACTTTGCGTAGATAGACAACTGTGCTAAAGGTGTACAAAAAAACGTGTACTCCAAGCACGGCTCAATTAGTAATGTATAAAAAGGCTTTTGGGCTAGGCTCAGTTGGAAATAATACGCTGGGTCAGGACTTATTAATGTTGGGCCAATGGGTTGGGTCGGTATCAAATACTCCATGTCGCCACAGGCTGGGGTTCTTGACAAGTAGGATGGGTAGGCCCCACAGGCTCATGAGCCTACGGGCTAAATGATGATCCCTACCAGCCAGGTGGTAGACATTTAATGGTTAGTGGATAACAAATTATGTTAGGGTTTTGTTAATAGCAGATTCAATTAGCGGGTTTGACTAGCGGAATAAGTTAGCGGATTGCGAAAATATATTTGGTAATTTAGTTGTTTGGCCATAACAATCACCAGAAAATGCTATATTTCAAAACGCTAACCCAAAACTCTTCTATTTGCAGTGTTTTCATATCTGCGATTTCGTTAAAACACGCTAGATTCGAACAACTATTTACCAACTGATGGTTGTGATAAACATGAATTTGCATGCAAGTTTGTCTAACTTGTACCTAGATCGATGTATATAGACACATTGGTCAAGTGTGTGACCTCATACATACATATTTTGTGGGTGTCCTAACCAAGAATTGTTGGGTGGAGGATTCTCAATTGGGTAAAATGTGTGCGGTCAGGTCTTTTGTACACATTTTACTGTTTACACACTTGTATACACTACATGTGAAGGCTTTTTTTGTCTGTTGCAGACAAAACTTGTTTTGTCTAGCGATACAAGTTTGTGAATAATAATTGTGTACAAATTTTTTTTCCTAAAAGAAGTCGTCTCTCAACCATTAAAAGCAAAATGAAGGCTTGTCAGCGTGTGTTCATCTAATGTCATATACTACTTCCTAGCAGGATATACTACTCCTGTTTGATTTTATTCTATGAAACTCAAAATAAAAGCACATCAATTGTTTCCATGTATCAGCAAGTACATATTGGAAACCTCTCTGTGGCTTCAAAGGCAAAGCAATAAGAGGTAGAATAGACCTCTCAGTCTCAGAGAGCACATGAAAGAACAGAAACGATATGGCAGAAATAATAAATACGAGTAGCATTAATTGAGTACAAATTGTATCAAAGTTTGACATGACAGAATTACCTAAATTATCTTCTTCAATATTTCTCTTTTGGGTAATCCTTACATGCACTATAGTACAGTATATGGCATTGGCCTTCTGACCGATCTATACTACTGGCCTGGCTGTCAGTACATCTGATCATTTATCATTTTATCCCTTCTCATACCCCCATTGACTGTGTCAGTAGATCCACTACAGCCCTGCATTTTCCTAAATGGGCTTTACTTATAGTAGTAACTGTTAAGGTTGAAAATAGATTTGTAATAACTGGAAGTAACTAGCCAGCTTGGCTCACCTAAATGGACTTCTTCTATATGTATGAAGTTACTCACAGAATGTTTGTTCCATCAATATACCATTTGGTATATTTTTTTTTTGTCATATTTGGACTTTTTATGCAATGGTGTTCAGCTGTTTTGCTAGGTAATGTCATTTTAGTCTATGAGATTTCTGGTATTTTCCCCAACACAACCGATATCCTTAATTTATTATATAGTTTTTAGATTAATGCTTGTACGTACACAACTCTAATACTTGTATGTTAGACCTTTTAATTCCCTTTTAAAGTATTGAGGCAGAAATTAGTGGGGATGTTGTAGAGATGCATTATTTGAGATACTATGCAGGGAATTTAATGAATATGGTTCCATTAGTGAATATATTTATACGGATTATATTATATCACAAAATATATCGGGCGGCATGGATGGGATTTTATTATATGCAAGTGGAGTTGAATTGATTAATAAATTACTGAAGGGAAACGGTATAAATAACCTCTAATGTTTAAATTTTCATACTAAAAATATAAACTAATGGTTTTGGTAATCTCTGAAATTTTAATTCTAGTACTTAAGGTCAATAAAACTCGATTTAACTCTTATGTAAATATTAGAAGCAAGTATTTTTATACATTTTAGAATTGTATGTACGGAGTACTAATTAATCCTAACTTGGAGATATGCATCACGAGATCTGGCGTTCATTTGCCTTTTCAATCTTGCCCTTCATTTGCGAAAGACATTCTGCTTTAAGGGATCCACATTCATGCATCCAAGGTGCATGTAACTCCCTCTATTTAAAAGTGTCCTTTCTTTTTACACACAATTTATAAAGTGGTATTGTTTAGCACTATTTGGCGTTAATTGCACTGTTTTGTTTACCAAATAAGGAAAGAGGCTCTTTTTGGGACGGCCCAAGGGAAAGAGATACTTTTAAATTGGGGTGGAAGAAGTATATGGTTTGAGATTCTCGACCGTATGGTAAAGGTTACGTGCACGAGAGTTTTCAAATGAAAAATAGAAAGTCTCGAAATTTGTATTTAAAGCGAACATAACAACTTTGGAAAAATCTTTTTGTACACGTTGATTTACATGTCATTCGTGTATGTTTCCGTAATTGTCTGTGTATACAAAAAACAAAGTGACTTATGCACGTATGGCTTGGCGTGTACATGAAAAACCAACTAGCTTTGACACAAGGCAAAAGGCGACATGTCCTTAATATATTAGGTAAAGTTATCTTGGTGAACTGTACTACTTCAGCTGAAATGTTATTAGACTGTTTGAGTAAGTTGCTTTACTGTTGGGTATATAATGATAATGATGACAGACGTGGTTCTAGTTACAAGCCTGCTTACTCATAATCTGCACTTGAGTGTCTAACTTTCCATTAGGTTTGCTTGGTAAAGAGATTTCAAAAACAAAGGAAAGAGAGAATTAATTCGTGTTTTATTATTAGTTGATCTCTATAATTTTATCCTAAAAATAAATATAGATATCAATAGTTAGATAATATACCTATATGTAATGATGATTTTAGTGTCACTAGCCATTTTGTGTAATTGGAAATGATAAGAGTGCCAATCGGGATTAGAACTATGATCTAATACTCCCTCCATCCCGAAAAGGTTAACCAAATTTCCTTTTCTGGATTTCCTTAAAAGATTTGTCATTTCCATTTAAAGTAAGGAACATGTGGCTAAAATTAATTCTCTCTCCTCTGCACAAAATTCAACCACACAGTTTTTACTTAATTAATCCACGTGAAAGTCAACTTTGACCAATCTTTTCGGGATGGAGGGAGTACAAGTTAGTCAGTTTTGAGTGCACACTTAGCTTGTATATAAGAATAAGAGCCCGTTTGGTGACCTCTTTTTTCGGCTTATCAGGCTTATCAGCCAGCTTTTTCACCAAACACGTAACTTTTACTTTTGTGTGCTGAATTGTGTAATAAGCAGAAAAAGTAAGGTTGGAGTTACTTTTCTGGCTGTATTGGCTGAAGTTACTGTAGAGGACTATTGTAGCAATTTTTACATGTAATTTTTTCTATAATTTATTAATAAAATATATTTTTAAAATATTTTTTTCTTGAATCAGCAGAATCAGCCAAAACAGCCACTTCAGCCAGAATTTCATAAATTTCAGCAGAATCAGCCAAAACAGCCGATTTTTGTGCTACCAAACGGGCTCTAAATGTAATTCCAAATTGTCTATGATAGAGGAACTCGAGGTAGAACTCAAGGTATAACTCTTCGTAGACCAGCTTTGTGGTTCTAGACCGAGGTCTAGAGCGATTGAGGCAATTTCGTGCAGTTTTCCAGAAACTGTCACAGTTATTCTTAAATGTGTTATAACTGCTTGAAACGGTTAATATGAATATATATCACCATATTTCGTACAGAGAAGACAAAACAAGATATACAACATATCTTGATCACTTTGACACTCAACTTACAGAAAACAATCCATATACTCACTAGTTTGTGCTCTAGATCTTGTGTCTAAGTTCTTGAGTGTCCTTAAGGTTTATCTTAGATTGATTTTCTGGTAATCCAGACATAGGGGAGAAATATCAATTCGAAAAGTGAATTTACACTCTTCAGCAATCCAAGTATTCAATTATCACTCCTACATGAAGACCCAACAATTTCTTTGTTAATTCCAGCCATTTATATATAGATATAAATTTAGAAATGAAAATCACTCATTTGTTTCCTCTCATTCCAAATCCCTTGATCAACCAAACTGAATGGCATCTTTCCCAGGCGTACCTTTTCCTGAAGTGGACAAAACATATGATTCCTACACTTCAGTGCGGCTTTGACTCTACAATGTGTTCCCATTTTAACTACTAATACACAGAGCTTCCCATTGCCAAAAGGAACTCTCATCATCATCATTAAGTGTCGACAATAATTTCCATAATTATTTATTTTCGCTTTTAAAACTTTTTTTGAAAGGATTTTCGCTTTTTAAAACTTTATTGATCAAATTGTTAATAGAATTTATTAAAGATTTCAAGAATTGCGGACGTCTCTCCCTAGGGTTCTAGGGTTAGAGTTTTGCTGCGCCGATTCTTTCCCCGTTCGTCGGGGGGAGGGATCGATCTGCAGAGTATTGATTTCGTCTTTGGCTTTGTAATCGGAAGGGAGGCAGGGCTCGGTCTCCAGATTTGGACTTGGATTAGGAAGGGAGAAGGTCTCACTTTGGGGAGGTCTGCGATGTTCTTGTTCCTTGTTCTCACTCTGAGTTTCGCCCCACAAGAGTTTCGACGAGTAGGGGGTAGCAGGGCTCGGGCAGATTTGGATCGCTGCTTTTGCTCGGGAGCCAAGAAGATGTCATTGGAATTTGTGAAGGTGGGCTTGCAAGGAAGTTTTCAAGATGCAGGTTTCATGGCACATCCCCCTTCTGAGCCACCGCCGAGGATGATGGTTGAAGTATGGTTCCTGTTGCTGTGTCAGTTAATTTTATTTAATTTCGTTTCACCCTTTTTGAGTTTCTTAGTCATGAATATTGTCGCTGTAGTTTTCTGCAATTTTTATTTCAGTCAGACTCTTACATTAGGTGGGGGTGATGGGGGTTTTGCTCTGGCCACGTTTGGCTCAATTAGACCCGCTACAGGATCAACGAATCATATTGCTTTTTCTAAGGTGATTGATTCTCCAGCTGGTTCGAGGGTTGGTGGCTGGAAGTATTTCCTTTATCTATTATGTCCCTTGCTGAATGTTTTATTATCAATATAAGCCTCCCCGTTACAAAAAAAAAACTTTTTTTGATCATTAAAATATGTCTCTATTCATATCAAAAGATTCAAGATCATTACATCAAACTAGGGGAAAATAAACTTGACATCAACTAAACTCCAACAACTACGACTGTAAATCCTATGATCAGACTTTGAGACGGTCATCCCTGAAAGAGCAACACGAATCGCTAACCATGTATTGGGCTTGACATAGCCAAACTTGTTCCCATAAATCCAACCATACCCAATGACATAAAGAGAGACTAAAAACTCAAACTGTCAAAACCAACAACAAAGATGGACACAAGAAAACAAATGACAAACAGATAAAAATTACTAGGAAAACTTTCACGGACACTAGCACCTCGTACAACCCATGGTGGTGGTTCAGGAGGAGGTCGTACCACTTGTACCATGCTAATTGATCCTCCATTGTCGAACGCAATCTGGCCTACTCGAAGTCCTTGCAACACTCCTCGTCCCGCACTCGTAGCTACATCACCCCTCACGTCCATCTTCTTCTCTGTTGACCTCTCCACCTCGACAGAAGAAAATTGCTTCTCTGCTCTCGCCCGACCTCACGATCAGCAAATCAACACCGAAGTAACAACGAAACCTCGCTTCACCCCACCAAACAGCGGAAGCGGACTTCCGTGGATGAAGATCGCCGAGGAGAAACCCAGTCGTCCTTCATATAACCGAAGACAGAAAAAAGCTCTAAGGGCTATGAAACCCTAGAGAGAAAGATCCGATTTTCTCTTAGTACGTGCTGTTTTTCGCTTTTTAAAACTTGAAAAATGTAAATTTACCTCTCAAAATTAAACACAAGTAATCTTAGAAGCTGTTCTGTTCGTCTTAATCTTATCACTTATTGCTTATTCTTATTTTATTCTGATCAGATCAGAAAAATTCAGATCAGATCAGATCAGATCAGATCAGAATCATTCAGATCAGATCAGAAACATTCAGATCAGATCAGAAACATTCAGATCAGATCAGAAACATTCAGATCAGATCAGGAACATTCAGATCAGATCAGGAACATTAAGATCAAATCAGAAAAATTCAGACATGATTTATCCCTTTTATTATAATAATAATATAATAATATTAATAATAATTATAATTATTATTATAATTACTATTATAATTATTATTATAATTATAATAATAATAATAATTATTATTATTATTATTATTATTATTACTATTACTATTATTACTATTACTATTATTATTATTATTATTATTATTATTATTATTATTATTATTATTAATTTATTATTATTATTATTATTGTTATTGTTATTGTAATTATTATTATAATTACTATTATTATTGATATTATTATTATGATTATTATGATTATTATGATTATCATCATCATCATCATCATCATCATCATTACTATGATTACTATGATTACTATTATTATTATTATGATATTTATTATTATCATGATTATTATTATTCTTATTACTATTATGGTTGTTGTTGTTATTGTTATTAGTATTTTTTTGTTATTATTATATTACACGGAGTAATTACAATTAAAATTATAGAAATAAATATTAAAATTATAATTATAGAAATAATTATAACTAAAAATATAATTACAATTATAATTATAGTTTTTTTTGTTTACTCTAGGAGACGTCTGGGGGAGGGGGTCTGGGGGGGCCTGAAGTAAACTAGGTTGAAACTCACCCCATTGAGTTTCAAACCCGAGACCTCCCATAAGGGAGAGTGAGTCGGCGACCAGCTGAGCTGGACCGCTTCCTCTAATTATAGCTATATTTGTAACCAGGGTAATATGTATAATCATAATTATACCTATTATAATTATAATTATGATTTGTTTTATAATTATGATTATGATTATAATTATATTTAAATTATATATGTGTAATTACATTTCTAATTATTATAATAAAAATTAAAATTATAACTATAATTTTAGAAATATTTAAATCAGACCAGATCAGAAGGATTCAGATCAGATCAGAAACATTCAGATCAGATCACGAACATTCAGATCAGATCAAGAACATTCAGATCAGATCAGGAACATTCAGATCAGATCAGGAACATTCAGATCAGATCAGGGACATTCAGATCAGATCAGACCAGATCAGAAAGATTCAGACCAGATCAGATCAGATCAGAAACATTCAGATCAGATCAGATCAGAACTTAAAAAATTCAGATCAGAAAGATTCAGATCAGGTGAAGAGAACAGCTTCTTAATATATAAGCACAGTAATTTGAGAAGAAATAGGTGATGAGTTTCTTATAGATTTCCCCTCATCCTATTTCAAAAATCTTGATTAACCGAATAAAGTTAATTCTTCAATCATAATAATTTGATTGATTGGAATTTGTAATTTAAAAAACTACTCTTAAAATCTTATTAAACCGGGAAAATCAAATTCGGTATAAAAAAAACCCCTAAACTAAACTCTTTAAAATCAGAATTAAAAAATGGGTTAAATTTGGTTGTTCAAAATTGGGTTTCAATTAAGAAACATTCAAAGACCAGATCACATAAGAAGCTAAGATAGATGTAGGAGATTATGATGTAATAATTTCACATTGCTCTTCAAAGAAACAGGGGATGGATAGATCTCAATATCTTATTAATTATTAGCATAGAAGGATTGTTAATTGATACTATTATATATAATAACATAATTATGAATAATTTTGGTGGTCTGGCTTGGCCGGGCCGGCTGGAGAATGAAACTAAATAAACTAATTATTATTATTACAGCTAGCTAGCGGGCTAAGAATCAGAGTCTCTGTGCTTATTCCAGTGGAGGAGCATTCCGATACAGCGCTTGACAATGTAGAATTTGGCCTTCTGCTCCTTTGCCAAATTGCTGCACTTTCTGGTGAAGTTGGAACAAGATTTGTTTGAAGAAGATGAAGATGAAGATGAACTGATCCTCTGGGAGCTGCTCCTGCGCAGAGAACTCTTCTTCTGGGATGAACTTCTCATCATTGAAGAAGGCTTTGAAGAGGAGGAGGAGTAGGAACATGACCTGGTGCAAGGGTCATTCTTGGTCAATTTCCAATTCCCACCTTCCATCTTAACTTCAATGGATTTTCACTCCCTTTATACTTCTGTTCTTCCTTTACTGTTTATAGAAGAATGAGGTAGCTAGCTAGCTTGAGTGCTAGACAGAGAGTGAGTGTGTGAAGGCTTAGGAGTGAGGGCAGCTCAGTTTGTTATTAGTTGAGAGAAGTGGCTATTTGGTGAGAGAGGTCAGACGTCAATCAATATCTATTTATAGTTAAAGAGATATGGGTTGGTGGGTGATAACATAACTGAGGTAAGGTGATTCCTTTACTAGACATGTCACAGATGATGGGTAAAAGTTGCATATGTAAAAGGAAAGGACACAGATACTTGCAGAGCATATAGACATTTTTACATGTTAATGAGATAAGGTGATTACATTTTAATCTCTCATCGCGATTGTCGGGATTCGAACTCGAAAACTTTTGACCCTCTGATTGCATTTTTTTGGGGGGTAAAAGTTGAACATACACGAGGAACAAGAAAATAATACGAGGAGTGTAATTTACATTATCACGGGAAAAAATGGAACCACACGTAAATGCATTGTGGTATTATATGGATTTTGAAAATTACGTATTTTGTTTTTATCATATTCGTTCATTTTTATAATACTCGTTGAATTATAATAGAGGATCTCATAAAAAATGGGTAATTATAGTGAGGCCGTGTAGATATGGGTGTGCATATATTAGTGTTGTTAGACCAAACTGAATTATACAAAACAAAATTAATCCGAACCGAAATCGAACATTGAGTTTGGTCGTACTTCTTTTAAATCGCATTAAACTCAACAGAAATCGAGGAAATTCCATTAAAACCGAACAAAAATACTCAATAAAACCTCAACATAATATCAAAAATAAAAAATTCAAACCTAACTGAACCAAACTAAACCGATCGAACCGAAAGATAATATGATTTATGTTCAGTAGTCATCCTTTCAATGAAGTCAAAGACTCACTATTTTTTTACTTGAGAATATGATGGAATATAACAAAATGATTTACTAAACTATCTGCACTTGTTTGTTATGAAGCAGCTGTAAGTACATGCATTTTTTCGACTCCCCTGCTCCATAAGTGGGAGCCTTTGTGGCACTGGAACAATGATGATGATGATGATGATGATGATGAAGTCATCCTTTCAATTCTTTTAAAATCGAATAGAACTCAAAATTCATAAATGTAAGAACTCGATTCCAGCTCAGGTCTCGTCCAAATATCACCCACAAAGGATGAAGAACACCACTAAAATCACTAAGGGGAAAAAGGGGCGTCAGCCTACAAATCTATTCTGCCAATAATCCGATGAAAAGCCCCACAGGAGGAGCAAGGTGGGTAATTAGGGTGAGAAGGGTTCGGCCAATCTCAACGCAGACAGGAAAAGGAGGAATAAATAGGCAGACCTTAAAAGTCCATACATGGTAACCATTCAAGAAGGAAGGTAATCGGTATCGCACCAGCATAGAAGGAAAGTATCGGCCAGAGAAAAGAGACGATGCGAACGAGCAAAACAAAATGGGTCGGGTACTCCTCCATTGAAATTGGGCTTAAAAAAGATTGGGCCAATACCTTACACATTCTCCACCTTATTGGACCTTAGTGGTGTAGAGCACAACGCTCTAAAATAATTTGATCTGAGACTCATCATCGCTGGATTGCCCGAATAATCACAAAGACATATTCAGGAAAAAGGGGTAAGATCACCAGGCAACTTACCCGCAATCAATTTTTAACGTGCGTTTGCACGACAACAACTTTTCGACCGAGAGACATTTAGTCCCCATGTCAGCAGGATTAAATTCCAATGAAATTTTAATCAACTTGATACGACCTGCACTCACAATATCTCGTATAAAATGAAATCTAACATCAATATGCATAGTTCTATCATGAAAAACAAGGTTTTGCACAGTTGAATAGCAGATTGACTATCAGAAAACACACATATGTCCTGCTTAAGACTACCAATCTCCGTTAGGAGACGTTTAAGCCAAATGGCTTCCTTAAACGCTTCGGTAGCGGCCACATACTCAGACTCAATGGTGGAAAGGGCTACTGTGGGTTGAAGTTGAGACTTCCAACTAATGCACGACCCGCAAAGGGTAAACACATAAGAATCGAATCGAAACAGATGTCTTCAACTACGTCTATAAGGACCATATGGTTTGACTTCGCAGTAGGATCGTGTAAGCTTGTATAAAATATTTGTTTACCATCTAATCATAACTAAAATAATCTCGTCAAGTATCCTGTGGTATGATGGCATCATTGTTGATCTCCTAAAGAGGAGGTCGCAGGTTCGAGTCTCATCCCAATCAGGGATGTTGGCATTAACAAGAACAGATACTATAATAGGTTTAGAAGAATGTTCCAGAAAAACTAAAATAATCTCATTTTTTTCGTGGAATGGTGTTATTTAACGTTTTCTCTAAACATAATGATACTTTTCTAATCAACACATGTTGTATAAGAATGTTTTCTTTTAGACTATTTTCAGTCCCAAACTAGACAAGATAAAATCAGATCAAACCAGACTTTAATAGACCAGACCAGATCAGACTTCCATAGTTATAAATATATAGAGACTAGACATTTATCAGATCAGACCAGACTAGACCAGACTCCAACAGACCAGGCCATACCAGAACAGAACAACAAATTTCTGTTCAAAAGAAAACATCCTTGAGTCATAGAGTATTAAATTAATTAGATTAGACCCAAATTAAAGAGATCAAAGTTACTTAATAATAGGATTCAAATCATATTAAGTAATCAAACAAGGGAGGTCATACTAAACCGGCCTAAAAAAGACTAATCTTAACAAGTTAAGACGTTAATTGGCGAGAGCAATTCAAACCGGTGACCACACCAAAACCAGTTCACACCCAAAATAAACAACAAAACTATGTCCCATAAAAGATGTCCTTGCTCCATCTTCGTATTATACATTGCAATAAAATATACTCCGTAATAAATATTCTTAAATGAAGTGAAGTTTCAATGAGATGTATCACTCTATCGTATTTACCTCAAAGTTGCTATATTTATGCTAGACAGAACTGGCAGTAATAAAGTAAAGCAAATAAGGTGTTCATTTAGGACTCAAATATGGAAGTTATAAAGTACCTTTAATTTTAAAAATTTTGTTACTTTTTTAAAACTTCATCATCATCCTCATTACCCCAGATTTAAAACTTATACTGCAGATTTTTCATTAATAATTAGTCGAGTAATCAATATTCTGTCTCATCCCAAACGGTAATAGTCCTTGTACATGAACATTGAAAACCTAATTAATTGATTGTTAAGAGTGATGCAAATTGGGTGGTGCTACTGGTACGCATAATTTGTATCCGTTTCTTGTGGAGTCGGCCACCCTAGGTGCCCCCACACTCTAACTCGATAGAATGGTGGAGGAGTAAGTCACGGTATGATCGCAAACGGTTTCTAAGTGTTACACTAAGTGAAGAGGTTCAAAGCTTGGGGTGCACAAAGAGTCATCACATTGGATGAAAATCACACATTATCACTGTCGAGAATTGAACCTGAGACCTCAATCCAACAATTCTCTCAACCACAGTAGAGCTACCCGTGCCGATATTTGTATCTATTTCTTATACACACTCTTAATTGTCCTAATACACACTCAGTGACTCAACTCTAAGAGCATCCCCAATGGGATAGTGGATGGGAGTAATGTCTATCCTACGTGGCATAGGAGAGAGATAGAGATAGAATGATTATTTTAATTTAATATGGAGAAAGTGGTGTGTATGAGAAATGAAAAGGAAGAGAGAGATATGAGAAAATTGTAGAGAATGTCTATGAAAATGTCCACAAATAGACTTTACACGGGAATCGACGAGTGAATGTGGATGAAAAGTGGGTTAAAAGTGATATAGAAAAATGAAAAATAAAATAAATGTGAAGATATGTAGGTCCTACACATAAAATTTGTGAGTTAAAAAATGGGGCCATGTGTAAGAGTGTGTAAAGAAAGTAGACATCCCCATTGGGGATGCTCTAAGTATGTAGAAGAAATGTGTACTAACTTAGCTGTACAAATAGCTAGCTAGCTTTTTCATTAGAACCTTTCTTGCCCGTACAAGAGCTCATTTGTAAAAGCAATATAGTATAGGATAATTGCAGGGAGGTGTTGACGAGTGTTTCTCTGGTTGCACTATGGTTTTACACATCACATGCTTCAGACTGACATTCTGACAACAACGTATTAAACTGTCTATTTTTTTCCTTGTTTTCGCATCAGAATAATGGAGCTAGGTTTTCTCCAAAAAAAAAAAAAAAAAAAATACTCCTATAAGGGTGTGGCCCCCTCCCCCCATTACAAACTTTATATTTTAATTTAAACTAACATACTCCGTATTTAATAATCAATGGTGTGAAATAATGCAACACTTTCTGGTTCTTGAAAATATTTAAATATATGGAGAGGATTGATCAGCTTTTATGGAGATGCGTCCCTGCAGGCATGGTGCCCCATGCAAAAATCTTTTTTTAATTTAATTGCTTTTGTATTTTATTCATTCTATTTTTTGGAATATCTGAGCAGGCCCGGCACACCGGATATGGGAAATGTGAAATTATGCTCACTTTCAAGTGCTATCCAAATAAATTCCATATTTTATTTCATATTTTTCTTTGTAAAAAAGTGGGTGATTTTGTCATTAAGCTATTGTTGAAGGTTAGATTTTCTGATGAAAATCAATTAAAGAAGTACGCTTAGATGTCATAGTATACACCATTGAATCATCAGGTGCTGAATTTAAATATTCTTTTAACTTTGGCTCTTTGCAATAGTGCAATTAGACAGTTCCAAAAGATGGATTTTTCCATTCAAAGCGCTCTTGTGCCTTCATATATTTTCATAGAAAAATATGGCTACCTGAAAAACTATAGAAGGCAAAAACACATTGTATTCTAACCATTCTTTGGTTATACATACAAGAAATGCATAAAATGAGTTATAAAATCCCTATCAACATATTTTAATTTTCATGTTCAAATTGACTAAAATCACTCCAAATCTTTCAATTGAAATCAAAAGGGTCGAGAAAACACACACACATAAGATTTACCTTTTGAAAATAGGGATCAAGTCAGGCTTGTCCAGTGATATAAAGGTTGAGAATATAGTCACATACAATGTGTCGCTTTTAATCG